GCCAAAATAAACAACATTGTTTCAACCGTTACGAACACCTTAGCAAATGCTGTGCAAGTTTGGGTTTGTTTAGTTTAGATTACTTTTTTTTATATTTGCATAATGTGAGTATGTGAACACTTTGAATACAATTATTCTGTGCTTTAAAAACAGTCACAGTATGCACATTACTGGACAATAAAACTAGGAGAGTGACATTTCCCATGTGTGACTGTGAATGAGAGTTAGAAGCCCAGACGGGCTTAGTTAAATGGAACGCTCTAGTCATTAACTCGGGCTCTTAATATTCTAATGAGTTCTGAATTCGTTAGACTTGATAAGCATATTTCATCTCCAATCAGTCCAGAGCTTCATGAAGCAAAAGTTATTAAGTCAGTGAGCTCTGCGTTTTTTTTAATCTCACTGTCTCTTTATGTCCATCTACCCTTCTCTCATTTCAAATAATGCTGGAGCCGAAGACAAGAGCGAAGATATGGACTCATAAAGTGTGGGAAAAATAGTGCTTTCCTAGTCACGTCAGCAGTCGGATTTCATCCTCCCCCTGTAATCTGCAGGACTGTGTTTGGGTTGCTCTTACAGCTGTTTACTTTGAGACTGTGGGTGTCTTTGATGACCTGTTTTCTCTGCCGGCTGATTGGATCGTAATTGCTCTGCGTCCATCAAGGTGCACTCAAAGTTTCTTGCAGAAGAAGTGTGAGTTTAGTTAAGTTTGAGGACAAAGCTGTCCTCAGAAGTTGGACACAACCTTTGCTTTGGGGATATCATTGTAAATATTAAAATGATTGTGAGAAAGTTTAAAATTAGTGCGGCTGTCAAATGATTAATCGTGATTAATCGCATCCAAAATAAAAGTTTGTGTTTACATATATGTGGGTGCATTGTATATAATTATTTTATATATATAAATACACACACATGCATGTATATTTAAGAAAAAAATATTATCTATATATGAAATATTTATATTTATATACTGTATAATATAAATTATGTATAATAATAATTATATCGTAATTATTTATATATATATATACAAATTATATATAAATCTATATACAGTATATGCATGAAAATATTTCTTAAATATATACAAGCATGTGTGTGTATTTATATTTATAAAATAATTATACACATTGCACCCACATATATTATGTAAACACAAACTTTTATTTTGGATGCGATTAATCGCGATTAATCGTTTGATAGCCCTATTTAAGTCAGATTGTAAGAGATATAGCGTCACAATCACGAGAAACAAAGTCACAGATGTTAGATATAAATTTGGAATCGTGAGAAAAGGCCAAAACTGTGAACCACAAAGTCATTGTGAGATGTAAAGTCGCCTTTGTGAGTTTTCGAAAATGAGCTATTTACATAAGTCGCAATCACAACAGAGTTGCAACTGTGGGATTTAAAGTTACTTTATTGAGAGATAGTCACAATTGTAATAAAAATGTAACAACTCAAAGAAATAAAGTTCTCTTTACAAGACATTTTTGCATTTATGTGATATGAATTTGCAATTACAAGAAATTACGTTACAGTTACGAGAATCAAAGTTGTGAGATATGAAGTTGTGAAAGTCACAATTACAAGATATAAATCACAATTGAAAGATAAAGGCCTGGTTTCACAGACATGGCTTAGATTAAGTCAGGATTAGGCCTTAGTTCAATTATAAACGTGCCTTAAAGAAACATTACTAGTGTGCATATTGAGACAAAACTATGGCACTGACATATTTTTTAAGATATATCAGTACGAGTTGCTTTCGATTAAGACAGCTAAAACATGCATTTTAGTCTGGGAATATCTTAAGACTTGTCTGTGAATCCGAGGGATAAAGTCTCTATCTCTAGAAGATTATCTTCCTGACTTGTGTATACCAATAACATTAAACAAGATGTAAGTATTTTTGTGATTGCTTTTATATGTTTTGTGCTGCAGGGAAGTGTGTGTGCTGTTCTAAACTTGAATCATTTCCTCGGTTTTTCTTGAGTGGCCAGTGCGGGTCGGCTGGGTTAATTGGGATGCTGTCATACGTAACAGTACTGGACAGTGAGCAGCAAGGAAATGACAAACGCAGAGCGCAAATTAGAGTCCTTGCCGTCCCCTCTAGTTTGCTTCACACACACACAAACATACCTGACTGACACAGTGCAAGGTCAATATCTTTTATTACGATCAGGCTGGCCGTGGAGGATCAAAATGCGACGCGCACACACTTTGCGAATAACAGCTTAGTGTGCGGATTTGGATTAACAGCTAGTGGCCGACATATTCATCATGTACACAAATCTAATTATGAGGGTAATTGCCTACAAGGGACTTTATTGGTCCCTTATAATAAGTCTATTGTCTGTCGGTGCAGGGGATCACAAAGCTCTCTATTGATCAGTCATGAATACCGCTATAGCTCATGCGACCATTAATATGGATATTTTTCAGGGCTCTGAATGACTGGGTCAGTGTCGTCGATAATGTCGGCCACGGTACAGAGCAGAAACGAGAGCCTCTTAACTCTTTCCGTGTCTTGTCTTTCTCTCTTACTCTCTTGCTGGCATATTTAATTACAGGCGTTTAATTGGAGAAGTCGACTCTGTGCCGGCCGTAATTATGGCTCAGTCTTTGGAGGCTTTGTCGCATCGGGCCCCTTGAGCTCATATTCTCTTCGCCGTAATTCAATTAGATCCTTCACTTAGAGCACGGAAGCCTCTCAGCACCCATACGACATGCTATGCACTGCTTTCAGTATCTCACAATGCTAATTTATTTATCTTTTTAATTCTTTTAAATCATAGCATACAGTGTGTCATTTGAGAGGAGACGAGTACCAGAAAAAGCTCTGTTGTTCATTTCAGAAAGAGTATATGGACCCTTGAAGCACATGCACATTGCCACGACGTTTATGCAATACATGAATATTCATCTTAAAGTGACAGGGATGTTTTAAATAATGTTTCAACTGTTATATCAGCTCATTCTCAGCATTTTGACCATGGTTCAATATCAGACGCTTTAGGCACCGTTTAGTATTGCGTCTAACCCTAAACCTACCCGGGTAATCTAACTGACGCTAAAGGTAAAGCGTCAATTAGATGACGCCCTAGGATCACGTCATGTAACTGACGCTAAAGGGTGCCTAAAGCGTGATATTGAAGCATGGTCAAAATTGTCAGTTAGATGACGCCTTGGGATGAGAATGCGTTGGTTATATCCATAAAAGTCAATGGGGTCCAAAACAAACCTATTGGACCCCGTTGACTTTCAGTTTTGAAATTACAGTAATACAGATTTGTGATGGGTAAACATGTCCTATACACGACCATACCGTATGTATATCTCACAATTGCGGTTTCTCATAACTGAGACTTTATCTTTCACAATTGTGACTTTATTTCTTGTAACTGTGCTTTAATCACTATCAATCTAACAATTTAAGTCACAATTTTGTATTTGTTTCTCATAAAAGCAGCTTTCTTGCATATGCGACTATTTATCGTAATATTTCCCGTAAATGCAACTTTATTGTTTAGAACTGTGACTACCCAATTGATATTATCTCTCACAAATTACCCTCATATCTCAAAATTTTGACTTTCTTGGATCTCATAATTGCAACTTTTTTGTAAAAAAATGAATTTTTCTCTATATTTTACAATACTTGTTTGTAGCTTGCAATTTTGTCTCTCGTAATTGCCAAACGTTTTATCGAAACGAAATGAGAGTTTGTACATTTATTTTTGAGTTGTCCTGAATTTATCATGAATGGAAGATGGAGGTCTTGGCTCAGGTCTTGACCCCTGAAACATATTGTATATCACTTCAGTGGTCATAGCAAAGTAATTGAGATGAAAAATTATTGAGGGCATATAGGCCTACCATGGTGCCGAATGATTGCAATATTTATACTTGCTGGCGATGTTCTTTTTTTGTTAGCCACAAGTAATATATGTAAATGTGGCTATGGCTTTACCATGGTACAAATACGTTTTGTACAAGAGCAAATAGTAAACATCAAAATCCTAAAGTGGTGCTGCTGGAATGACAGCTTGGATACTGATGAGATGAACCATCATTCTGTTGACAAATGGGATGCCAGTGACGGAGTTGGTTTGTCATGCGTTGGCCTGCTTTAAAAAGATGAAGCGGAGGTGGTACAACAGAAGGGGTGTGTGTGTTTGTTTGAACAAGAATGAAATCGTGCCAGTACTGTGTGTTCTCAAGACAGCATGTTCACATGAATGCCATTTTAGGACGAGATTGTGTGGAATATGAGCGTTTTTGGATCTCTGTAATGGTTATTATTTTAATGTCATTTTTAATTGAGAGTTGGGAAGTAGGTCAGAGAACTTGATCTCAGCATGAAACTCAGCCCCCACACACGTGTATCTTCATGCAAACAGTCATTTTTTAACATTGACTTAAAAGTTTGAGGATGTTAAGGCTTTATGAGGAAAAAAGCCTCCGGTCAAATATATTTATAAAAAGATTTTCACACAAAATTGTGGAAAGAACCTTTGCCCCATTCTGTATGGTTCTCTAGTGCCCCCTAGTGCTGTCATCCGTTTCTTTTTACCAGATGAAATCACCTGAGCTTGTGGAAATGAAGCAATAATTAAAAACCAGCTTGTGAAGGTCTAAAATATTTCTGCCATTTCAGGGTCAATGACGTGAGTGAATTCATTTAGCTTTTATCTAAAGCGGCTAATGTTTTGGCCGGATCTATTCAGAAAAACATGACTTGAATAGCCTACACCTATTTAAGATTGTAATGCAGAAAAAGTCCTATTGAAAGCCTGAAATTCTTGAAGAAAAATAAAACTTGAAAATATATTTAAAGCCATGTCCTTGTGCATAAAACGGGAAATATCACCGATTAAACCAATGTAGACTATTCATCTGATTTCTTTTCTAAAGATTTCTGCTTTTTATCATGATATTTTTGTGTTGCCACGACCCATATCAATGTTGTGACTCTCTCCATTTCTGTGTTACAGATATGGAGACATGGTTCCTAAGACCATCATGGGGAAGATCTTTGGCTCTATTTGTTCTTTGAGTGGCGTGTTGGTGATCGCCCTTCCCGTTCCTGTCATCGTGTCCAATTTCAGTCGGATCTACCATCAGAGTCAACGTGCAGAGAAGCGGCGTGCCCAAAAGGTACCCAACACCAGCACGGTCCACCACCTCTGACCTCACAGCGCTAAACGGAGCTGGGCTCAAATGTAGATGTTCTCTTGAAATACAAGCTGGTCTGGCTGTGGCAAAGAGATTAGTCCCTGACAGGACCATGAACACACAAACACAGAAAAATGACACTGGGATAGTATTTAATACAACTTGGCACAATGTGCTTGTGACCCAGATGTCTGCACGCTGAGTGGTGTGTGTGTCTCTGTGGTATGTTAACTGCAGGTCTCTGTGGACCCATCATTTCTAGTGCATGGCCAGATCTCATCCCGTACTTCAACACAGCAGACAGAAACACAAACACACAGAAACAAGACAGACAAGCAGAGAGAGACTTTGAAAATGGCAGATATAAAGAAATGATGAGAGAATATAACGGCCATATACACACTGCAAAGCACATGGAGGCTTGTTTCCAACGTGAGTTGAATATTTAAAAAGTCATTGAGACATTTTATCCCACAATTCGAGCTCAATGCTGATTTCATATCTCAAAATTCAGATTTTTTCTCCCGCGCAGTACAAACTCTCAATTGCAAGGGGAAAGTCAGAATTTTGACATAGAAAGTCGCAATTACCTTTTTTATTTTATTATATGATGGAAAAAGCTCAAAATGGCAGGTTATAAACTCAAAACTGGGAGTCTATATCTATCAATTCTGACACTTTCTGTCAGAATTGTAAGATATAAAATCACAACTAAGTTGTGAATGTTATCTATACGTAAACTTGCAATTCTTAAAAAAAAAATAAAGTCACAATTGTGAGATAAAGAACTCGCAATTGCGAGAAAAAAGCCAAAATTGCGAGTTTATGTCTCTCAATTCTGACCTTTTCTCAGAATTGTGAATTATAAAGTTGAATTGCGAGAAAAAAAAAAGCTACAATTACCCATTTTCATATTTTTTTTTTTTTTCATGGCAGAAACAAGCTTCCATACAAGTTAATCTCCTAAATACTAAAATTTCTTAAATAATTTTCTGTTATCTCAAACTTTAGTAACACTTTATTTTAAGGTAAATTATGCATAATTACAAGAAACTAACCCTAAACCAAACTCTAACCCTAACCGTGACTCTATAGTAAGTACATGTAGTTGATTAATATTACTCAGTACTTATTTGAGTAAATTCAATGTAAAATAAAGTGTAACCCCACTGTGGCGACAAATGCCGTGATGATGGAATTTGCATATCCTGATGCTTCAGGATTATTTCAAAAGAAGCAATTCAATTAATTCCCAAACCTCAATTAATCTGATTACTTTTGCAATTAAATTTAAATACAAGTTTTACAGCCCATCTGCACAGCGACTGCCACGCACACGCACTATATTTATAGTCAATGCATTAGCCAGACGTTTGAATTTATTATGACACGAGCCTTGTGAGCTGTCATTACTTTTTGTGATTATCCTTCCTAACGTAAATCATCTTTTCATGTGCGTACAGAAAACAGGAGTCACTTCTGAACATGCAATGATTGACATAGTGGTTTAAACCTTTTCTTTAGCAACATCTGTCAGCATTTATTAAACCGAATTCTATTGTTCATGCCATTTGGTCATCGTCAAACTTCTAACTGACAGAACTCTGTGTACAAGAGTCACAACCGTATTTAGCTGCAGTGTGTACTTGGCCAATGAGACCAGGCAAGGAACAGATGCTGTGTTCTGTATCATGCTCTCCTTTGGGGGTGATCAGAATACAGATGTAGTGATCTCACATCATGTCTCATTAGATGAGTGTCTTCTCTTAATTTAGCTGTTCTTCTGCAGCCACAAACAGTTCAGATATCCATCTGCCCCTCTGCGCATGGATAAACTGTACAAGCAGTCCACCCAAGAACAACAGTCTGTTTATCCAGTTAACTAGGAACTGAGAGCGAGAATAGAAGAGGGAGAAATGAGACAGGAAGTCAAGTTTGTAACAATACCAACATTTCAGTAGTCGATTTACCCTTATCATTTTACAATACTGAAACGTAGACAAAAATGAACTCCTTTTTTAGGATGTTAATACTTTCATGAATAAAATATTTATAGCAGTCTGAAATTTTGACACAAATTGCAGGTTTTTGTTCTGGCAATCTATCTGGAGATGTAAAGAAAAAAGCCTGAAAAGCCTGAAATTCCTCGAGGAAAAATGTTCAAATAAGTAGTTTGACATAATTTTATAAATACAATTCTTATATCTATCTATATCTATCAATATCTATCTGTCTATCTATCTATCTATCTATCTATCTATCTATCTATCTATCTATCTATCTATCTACAGTATCTATCTATCCACACACACACACTACTGTTGAAATGTTTGGGGACGGTAAGATTTTTAATGTTTTTAAAAGGCGTCTCTTATCCTCACCAAGGTTAAATTTATTTGATCAAAATTACAGTATAAACAGTAATTTTGTGAAATTTTATTTCAGTTTATGTTTCCTATTTTAATATATTTTAAAATGGAATTTATTCCTGAGTTGATGTTATTAATGTTCTAAACATTACTTAATATTATCAGTTGATCAGTTAATGATACTTAATACTTCTGTGGAAACCATGATACAATTTTTTTTAGGATTTTTTTGATGAATGAAAGGTGTTTCATTCTCACTATTTATTTGAATTAGAAATCATTTGTAATATTATAAATGTCTTTACTGTGACTTTTGATCAATTTAATTTATCCTTGCAGACTAAAAGTATTCATTTCTTGAAAATAAATCTTACTGATGCCAAACTTTTAAACAATTTATATATAATCATTATTTCTATATGACTGTATATTTATATATATATATATATATTTATTATTTTATATATGGTGTCAAAATATTCACTCCTCGCAATGTACATTTAGCCACACATACAGAAAGACTGGTATTGTTACAATTTTGTATTTAATCAAAATACTTTCAAACGGAGAACATACGACACATTGCCATTCTTCATGTCAGACATGAGCATGCAAACCTCCAGTCACATTCACAGCCACATTGATCACGAGAGGAGGCCGTGTTAGGCTAAACGCACGTGTGTTTGTCCACCTGAACAGAAAACCAGGCTTGCTAGAATTCACGCAGCGAAGAGCGGTGGTGCTAACGCTTATTTGCAGTACAAACGCAATGGAATGCTGTCGGACGCAGAGGAGGAGGTAACGGTGGAAAGCAATTCGCCGGGGTCTCTCTTAATGGAACGTGACATGATGGGCTGGTGCTGGTGCATGTGGACCCCTCCTCCCCCCTGGCCGTTCACCTCTCCGGCAGGGGGCCGGGGTCCAGCAGGGCTGTCCCCATCAACGCTTCCGTGGTGTTCCTCTAACTTTTCTTTCTTTCTCACCCTCTTTCGCTCTTTCTAACGCCTAGACCGGGTACGCCGGAACCTCTTACTGGTGTCTGGTCATGAGACCATCAACAATCGTGTGTCCTCTTTTCCTGGCAGTGCGGTGCATGCGGCTTGGCCTTGCTGGGGCCACTCCCATCCACTCCAGTTCCAACGGGGCCCCCTGTTTTTTACTGCAACCCTTTTCTCCATCCACTCTTTATTACTTTTTTTGTATCTTGTCTACTTGCTTTTTTTCCAACAACTACTACTCATGCATTTTTGAGTGAATTTCTCTCCGGACTAGTTTCTGCTCGCTCACTCTCTCTCTCTCTCTCTTCATGACATCATCAAAACTCATCACATGGAGGAATGAAACTGTCTGAGTTGCATGTCATTGATTGGCCAGCATCTAAACGGAAGGCGGGGTTTAATGTGAGGCAGAGACCACGAGGCGTGTTGATCGAGTGCCTGCAGATCATATGCAGGTTCTCGAAGAGCAGCGCCCTAGTCCACGGGTGTCCAGTCCTGTTCCTGAAGGGCCTCTATCCTGCACAATTTAGCTCTTATACTAATTAAACACACCTAAACTGGCTAATTTGGCTGCATCCTAAATTGCATACGTCCCTATAGCGAAAAGAATAATATGTCCGAGTTCACAGTATTTCATAACGGTAGTCGAAAAGTTCCCAGATGTCCTACTACTACTGGCGAGATTCTGAAATGCACATCTAATGGACACTTTATCCCTTTCCCAGAGGGAAGGCCAATTCCCTCTGGTACTTGCATTGCGAAGTACCCGAGGGAATACGATTTCGGATGCGGCCTTGAGAATTGGATTGGTGTTGGGGTAGGTTGGAGCTACAATCTGCAGGACACTGGCCCACCAGGAGCAGGATTGGACACCCCTGCTCTAGTCAACTGGTCACTGCATCATGGTGATTCATTAAGGCTGTAGTGAATTTGGGTACGGTGGCCGTCATGGTTCAAATACAGCAGACACTCATTTAGACAATGCTTATTTTTTTCAAATAATTACTATCTATACACAAATTCAATAGACATTTACAGACATACTCTTGTTCCTGTTGTCCACTGTTTTTGAACCTAGAGCTGTCCGTCAATGTGGTGATGTTGAGAGAACAGGACGGGGCAGTGACGTAATGCCTACCATTGTCACAATGAAGTGGTTAAACGTTCCTCAGCATTGTCTCGACATTTGCTGGTCATTGTGAGAATTCAGGCCTTGCTGTCATTGGTCTAGTCTTTTCTCTTAGCTTCTTTCTGCTCTGATAGGTTGATAAGCAGTGTTTTCTGTTTCTCCAAAAGGCATCGAAACAGGCGGGTCAAGCTTTGGTATGTAAGACCAACCCCACTTTTGAGACCCAGCATCACCATCTCCTGCACTGCTTGGAGAAAACCACGGTAAGAAACCATATGGATAAAGCTTTACACTTACAGTAACTGGAAGCTTTTCTCAGCAATTCAGCGTTGCCATTATTTGATCCTTTTGACCTTGTAGAAGGCTCAATAGCTTCTGGACAGGTGTTGACTGTATTTAAAGTGGAAATGAAAATTATGTGATCATTTATTCCACTTCACATTGTTTCAATCCTGTATGACTTTCTTTCCTCATAGGATCACAAAAGGAGAAGTTTGGCATATTATCCCAGGTGCAAGAACAGACACTGTAGAGTTACAAAAAATGCTTAAAAGTATTGTGTAAAGTATTGAATACAACATATTTCCCAAGAACAAGTGCTGTTTTCCAGGTTTTTCGTAAAAAGGCCAAGTTTTCTAAAAAATAACGTTGTGTTAACAAACTGAAATCTGAGTTGTTATTAGCTGACGTGATCGGTTATAAGCAAAGCTTTTTGGCTTGATTGACATTAAACGTGGCACGATGCTTCTTCATATAAAATATTTGAATAAAACATGATTTCAGAGCACTGACAGAGGGAAAAAATGAGGCTGAGAGTGGACAGAAGTTTCATTTTCATAACCTTTACCAACCAGTGCCTGACTTCGTCTGCACCCTTGTGGGTTTGCCACAAGCAAGTGCAGTTTTGCTCTCAAGCGAAATCATTAGTCAGGCACTGGCAATGAAAATGACAGCCACTGTTGTCCCCTGCCAGCTAGAGTCATGACAGTCTAGAGAACATACTGTGACCAATTCTTGCTTTCCTAGGGCACTAGATTTGAGACATTTGAAAGGAAAATTCCAGTGTCCTGCTGAGGATGCAGAACTGTTTGAGAAACAGCCAAAACAGTAAATCTGGATTCAAGGACACCCTCTGATCAATGTTTTGACTGGCTCATATTATTAAATGCTTGTGCAATATTTGTTTTAAAGACAAAGAGATTTGAGATTATATCATACCATTATTCTTTAAGTTCCTGTCAGCAATTATTGAAACTAACGTGAACTCAATTTAGACAAAGCACTAGAAAAAACTAATTGTGCACACATGCAAGCAGAAAAAAATGAATTATTCCATTTATTAATGAAATATTTCCAGAGGTGTAAAGAATATCTGAAAACCATACTTAAGTAGAAGTACGGCTACCTTACAGTGAAAATGGTAGTTACAAGTCACCAATTACAACCACTTGAGTAAACGTCTTAGAGTATCTGATTTTAACTAAACTTACTGAATGTAGGCTCAAAGATGCACTAGTCCCAGCCCATTCTCACTCCCAAGGCGTCACCTAACTGACGCATTGGGAAGCATTTGGACATGCTTCAATATCTGACGCTTTAGGCGCCCTTTAGCGTCAGTTAGATGACGCCCTAGGATCGCGTGTACCCTACCCCCACCCCACACCTAAACCTAACCGCGTCCTCTAACTGACGCTTTCCTTTAGCGTCAGTTAGATGACGGCGTAGGATCGCGTCATGTAAGTGACGCTAAAGGGCGCCTAAAACGTCAAATATTGAAGCATGGTCAAAGGTGACGCCTTGGGGTGAGAATGCGTTGCTAGTCCTCATCACCTCAGAGATATGTCAGCGAATAACAAAATTGCAATAAATCAAGGTCGACATAACAGCCACTTATACACCTACAAACACCTAAGTCTCAATTAAGCTCAAGTGCTCGAAAAGGGCATAAGTAAACCAATATGGTTCTTCAAAATTAAAGAGTCAAAGCCTATGTGCAGTGGACGTGCTGGTTTCGGCCTCATCACTGACTGCAATCATGTCCTCATCTCATTTATGAAACTCCTGCGATTCACAACTACCCTCTAATGCACTTGCAGTCGCATAAAGTAGCCTTGTTGACAAGTTTGGGTGAGTAAGGGATATTGTACCTTCAATGCCCTGTAGATGGCGATACCACTTATTTTGTAGCAGAAATAAACTGCTGCAGAAAAACTTAGGTGCCATGCAAAATGTCATGAGTAATTTCACTACTCATCACAAATGTATTGGAGTAAAGAGTAGGCTTACATATACTTAAAGTTGCTAATATCTTTGATACTATAGTCTAATAATCATTACCCACAATAAAATAATAATCAAATACCAAAATCAATCCTTAAAGTGATAAATACTTCCTGTTTTGTTTTCTCTTTCAGAATCATGAGTTTGTGGATGAGCAAACCTATGAGACGAGCTGTATGGAGGTTTCTCTAGCGAAGGCGTCAATGTCGCGTTCTTCCTCGATGTCTTCATCTTCGCACGGTTTGTCTTCCTGCTGCACACGCAGAAACAAGCGCAAGAGCTTCAACGTCCCCAATTCCAACATGGTCGCCGGCCGCAGGGGCAGCATACAGGAGCTCAGCACCATCCAGATCCGAGAGAGACCGGTTAACAACAGGTGCTCTCACAGCACACTTACACACACACAAGAAGGAAAAGGCCGTGGTCTGAATATTATACAATGCGTAATACATAATGTGCAATATAATAGTAATCCATAGAATTTACTATGCAAATGTTAAATTAAAGGAGTAGTTCACTTTTAAAAAAAACTTTTGCTGATAATTTACTCACCCACGTGTCATCCAAGATGTCCACGTCTTTCTTTCTTCAGTCGAAAAATGGCTTTAAATGACACCAGACAATATCTAGGACCCTTCGAGTCATGACTCGAAAAAAGATTTGTTCATTTTGATGAACGAGTTTGAACAAGAGAGTCACGAACGCTCATCACAGAACAGAGCAAGGCGAGCATTTGTGCTTATAAAACTTAAACTTGTTTATTTATTTTTGAAATGACCGATCATTTCGCTAGATAAGACCCTTATTCATCGTCTGGTGTCGTTTAAAGCCCTTGAAACTCTCATTTGGACCTTGAACCGTTTGGTTCCCATTGAAGTCCATTATATGGAGAAAATCCTGGAATTTTTGGAATTTTAGTATGCAGCGTTCAAAGTGTTTAGTTGCTGTGTATATTGCATATAACTTAGTATACATAAGAAGCAAAACATAGCATCTATTGCATATAGAATGCAGTGTGTAGCTCATTGGTTTAGCATGCACAATAAGTTAACGCATAGTATATAATGTGTAGTGTATAATATGCAGATTCTGGAAATGTGAAATTGTTCCCATAGTGATTCACGCTGCTGGAATCCTGTAAAGCTCCGGTTGTGACACTCCCCATATGCCAGGAAACTCTGGGAACGCTATCATGATTCCCTCCAACAGCTGGGGGAATTTGCCCATCAGCTGGATTGTATTCTCACCCTCCCTCTCTTCCTCTCTCTCCCAATGCAGCCGCTCCAGTCTCAATGCCAAGTTCGAGGAGACGGTACCCCTGAACTCGGAAGAGCAGTCCTACATCACTGCCGCTGTCATCAGCATGCCTACCCCGCCCGTGACCACTCCCGAGAGTGGAGACCTGGGCAACTGTCCCGACTTCTTGCAAAGCAACATCGTCCGAGTGTCAGCGTTATAGACCATGAGCACTATCCTTTCTTTTTATTTTTCGGCAAGGGGACGCTGCAGCGTAAAGGATTGATGGAGCCCCCTAGCGTAGTGGAGGAGGCATTGCCGCAGGATGAGCCGTAGCTGGACATTTTTTTTAATCAGCTCCCGTCCAGTGAGCTCCATCAGCTCAACCTCTTGGCCCATACGTCACGTGAGGAAAATTAGAGGAAAACGATGACCATTATGGTTGTTACCACTTCTATGATTTTTCAGTATTGTGTGTCTTTGAATTCGTTGTCTTCAATTTGATGGAATTGCGAGATATTTAAGACGAATAAGGAGTGTACCAGCAGGGGCGGGATTTTACACACACTTTTGATACTAAAAAAAGTAAAGCTGGGCTCTACTCGGGTGTGCGGTCGGATGCTTTTGTGCGTGTGTGATCGAGGCCGATCTCTTGCATGATTTGCGTAAGTCTTTGTCTTTTTCCAATTCGGCATGAGCAATAAGGTTTGGCTCTCTCTGTCAGAATGTGCGTTTTACTTGTCAATAATTTGCCTCGTTATGTTGTATTGATCTTTGGAACCCAACGAGTGTGTGAAAACCCAATGAGAGATTGGCCTGTTGATACAGGTGACAAACGGAGACAATCCGCTCTCTCACACATGTCTGTCCCACCCATGTTGTGTTCACTCCTTGCCTGGCCTGATGGGATGTTTGTTATACTTCTCTTTTTGAGGATGGGCACAAAGCAAAGCTAAATGGAAAGGGAAATGCCTTTTGTGTTTCAATAGATTTGACTTTCTCACACTGACAGTGGAGGCTTTTGGACTTGAGCTCAAATACTAGCCATTCCGTTTTATACTCCAAATTTTGCGAGTAAACTGTGAAAAAAAAAAAAATTATAACGTGCTTATTTATTATCTTTGTTAAAATTTATTGTGCATGTTGTCGTGGACATGAAAAACGGGCCAGCCCGGACCAGAGCATAGCCCGCCCAGAACTTTTTTTTTTTCCTTCCCTTCTTTGCCTTCCCTTTAAAGTGATGTACTTTTATCAGCAAACATCCTTACCAAGTCCTGCTATCATTTCTGATGAGACTTTGAGAATCATCCAATCAGATTCTTAGCGCTGTTTTAGGGCTGATCACCCAAACACACCCAGCGATCCAGAATCTCACAAAATCATGTTCAGGTATGTTTCACTCAAAAATCTAAAGAAAATAAATTATATTTTGCATACAATTGTGTTAAAAAATAATATAAAAACATTTTAATGACAGTCAAGCACACTTTACACATTCTCATGTATTTCTCATTCTCAGTGAGTATATTTGTTACTGTAATACTTTTAAAGCTACTACAACAAATGTGAAATGCTTCATAATAACGATTGTAAAAATACTTCAAAATCTAAATGATATCATTAGGGTAATAATTCTAAAATATTTTGCACTACAATAATGACAGATTTGGGAGTGTAAGGTGCTTAATTGTCATTAAAATAATGCACAAAATTGTGCAGAATATTATCTGTGAGATTTATCCAAATTGTATTATTATTGATTATAGTATTTAAAAAAGAAAATTGTGCACCTGAAATACGAATGATCTCTTCTCTGCCATTTAATGTCTGGACTGGAGTTAGCGAGAAATTAGTCTATAATGTTGATTATTTTTATACCAATGTCAATGCAATTTGTTGAGTTGAGGAGCTCTTAATGCACCTTGCTCAATACACACATATACACACACCACTGCCCTCCTGCTCAATGCCTGAACCCATTCTTGCTTTACCATGTAACTTATGCAACAAGATTCCTTTTGTAAAGATATGCTTTGTATTAAAGGGGTTACTTGGGGAATAGAATCTCACAAATGCATATTTTTAAAACTCAAATGGTGTTGATTATATATTATAAATGTATTTCAGTTGTAAAATACACAAAAAAGAAAAGAAAAAAGACGAAAACAGAAAACTACGAGAGTGTTGCTAGTGCACCTGTGTTGTAAATTTGTTCTTCGGTGTAGTGAAATTTATTACAGTTTCTTAATTTCTCCTAATTTCCATGGACAGAAAATTTGATGTCTCACAGTTTGCTTTCAGGATCGACGACGACAAAGGCTGGACCATCTGTTTAGGTTTGAATTTATTTTTTCCTGTTTGGAGGGCAGAATTTACGGAGTGCATGTGCTCACAGACTCACAGACTCACTTTTTTTTTTCTTCTTCTTCTTCTTTTTTCAAGATCCACAGGGGACTTTTAAAACAGACTTCCTGTTTGTGATATAATGTACATTTAAATGACTACCAGGTGACGATGGTCCTTTGGAATTTGTTACAGCTTGTGTTATGGACATTAAAATATGACATATTGAAAAGCAATGGAAAAAAAATACAAATCAGTTATTTAGTCCGGTGCAGTGTCTATGAATAAATAGAATTAACTAATTGTCCTATTAAAATACAGATACAAAATTACAATGGTGTTTTGATCATTTTATTAATCTTAGTTCATCATGGAATCCATCTTATGATATTTAATACTTCATTGCAACTGTATTGTCTGGTTTCAGACAGGGCTTAGATAAAGCCAGGATTAGGCCTTAGTTCAATGTATGTAGCTTTTAGAAACGTGACTTAGAGAAAAAAACATCTTGAGACTAAATAATGGCAGTGACATATTTTAAGGTAAGAACAAGAAACACTAGCCATAATTCTGAGTGATAGTAAAAACAAGTTAGCAGGGCTTCACTCGCTTCTATTCTGAGATGAGTGACTATTTTCTTTTAAGTTTCCATTTTGCCGATTTCACGCGTTTCTCAGGCGGTACGTAAAGGGGCCTGCTTTAATACGGGCAACCGAAGCGGTCTCACATTCCAGCTACTTAGCGTGATTACGTTACACATTAACTTTCTAAATGCGATGACCACTCAGCCTTTCTTTTATACTCAGGAATCAAAGGGATGAGTCGGCCCGGAAGGCGAGGGATTGCACCTATTTTCCGAGTTCACTCAGAACAAGCGCAGCGCAGGGCTGTGGTGAGCTTCCAGCAACGATACTGCGCATTAGCATATTTCCCATCACACCGAGGGTAATTGAGACGTTTGAAGTCGGTTGTAGGAAGAGACCGTATCTGAGAGACGCAGAAGGAGGGGGACCTCGCCACACACCGGGGGGATATTGAAGTCAGACTTTATACAGGCTGCAGCTGTCTGTTTGTGACCTCGCTATTTTTGCTGAGAGGTGAAAGGTTAATGGTTTTATTTCCCCGCTGACTCGTTTTACTGTACTTGGAGAAAGGAAAGAGGGATGGAAGCTGTCTATATGATAGTACCGTCTGTGTGAAACTCTCTGTACATCTGAACCGACGCTAAATGGTGGATGACACAGTCACCAATCTCAATTGGTGTCTTTTGCTGAAAAGTAATATATTTTGACAGTGATTTACCACAGTGAACATGCTAGAGGATGGAAGAGTAAGTTATAAATCCAGATTTTATTTCACTTTCTGCACTGGGCCGTAACCAAAAAGTTGCAATTTTAGGATGATCTTCCTCAGTGGTTGTCAATGCCAAAAATGTTTGAGAATGATGAAGGAGGGCTTTACTTTTTGTACAGAAGCTGAGGCCGAGCATGAATTCCAGAGTAAGTAGCTAAACATGAAATATTTGGCAACTACTCAACTTTTAGTCAAATTTAGAATGAAAAATATAGGCATTTACGTAATCATTTACGTGGTTTAAATGTAACGGAGGCCAGCTAGTAGTTGCTGTGCGAGTAAACCTCACTCCTCTGATCTCAATAGGCGCTCTAGCAACAGACGCTCTGGGCTGCAATCTTTAGCCTCCTTGTTAGAGTGCCCGACTCTCATGCCTGAGACCAGGGTTCGAGGTTGAGTGGGACCCGAGTGGAGGGGTTACATATGCAATTAATAATTGTCTGTGATGACAAGAAATATTAATGGAACCATTTTTAGTGCATTAGAAACATGATGACCAGTGAGTGTATAAATGGATTACAATAAATTATTATTCATATACGGCTTTTCTTTTTATTTATCCCTTCAGGGTATATTTACATGACAACGATGAAAAACTGAAAGATTTTCACGTACCAATGACAACATTGTCAAAACGAACCCGGTTCACAAGGATCTGTGAACACAACTAAACACGCTGTGTTATTCATGCCAGGCCAGTAGTTGGCAAAAGTAGTCTCTTTGTAAAGAAACACTAAGTGCCTGTAGACTGAACACGTTATATGCATGATATCTCCGTTTTAACAAATTTGCCTTTTTGTCGTTTACGTTAGAGACGCTTACGTATCGTTTTCATAAACTTGTTTTCAAAAGTTTGCGTTTTCAGGCCGGCAAAACACCATTGTTGTGTAACTAAACGGCCAAAACGCATAAAAAGTTCTTCGTATTTAGTTGAAAATGGTGTTGTGTAACCCCCAAGTCTCTTTAAATACGTTAATTCCTTTAAATAAAAAGATTCCCCATAAATGACTTTGGTCCCTGTCTGTCTCTATCTCTCAGGAGATGAATAGAAAGCAACAAGAGAGAGGAAACAGTATGTCTATTGTACGCTTGTATGACGGCAATCCTGTGTGCTCCTCTCTGTTTCATAAATCAGATCCTGCACTTACAATGAGCGGTGGGGGAAAGACGAAGCATTTCTAGCTCTCCACAATGTGGATCAGCATACTAGTATACTGTTCATGCTATTTCTGCAGTAAACTCTGTGAATGATGTTTTCTGTATACTTGGATGACTTACTATTTGCCAAAATGTCCAATGTGCAACAGTGAAGTCCTTACCGTAAACAAGGAAGTTTGTTTAGTGGCTGACGCTAATGCTATTTTATAGAATGTCTCAAATTTGCCAAGATTAATGCTTCCCTCAAGTACACCTATGAAACTCGTACTTCAGAGTCGGGCGTTTGTTATTACGTCACGCATTCAAAAATCAGCCTAAACCGTGCAAAATGATTATATTGTGAATTATAAACCTAACTCACTGTTGAAAAATATTAATTTCTGTCTCTTTATACATGGTTAAGTGAAGCAGACACAACAATAGCAAACGACAACGATCCAATCAATTCCCAATGAACAAAATCAAGTCCTGCCCTTCCATTTTTGTCTTGTTTGAGAGGCGTTTCACTCAGATTTCCATCGCAACACGAAAAAAAAAACGAACTTCTGTTTCATGCCAACTTTAACACAATTTTCTACAACTTTATTCCAGCCACTTATCTCAGATTATACACATCTGTAATATATATATCAGTGTTTCCAAATTGACACGCCTCTGACAAAGCCGTAACATGCACCATTGAGAAGTTGAAGGTCACTTGAAGGGCACATTAGCATGCTTCTGTTTGAAATGTTTAGTGTTTTATAGCCTATATTCTGTTTAAAAGTATGAGTGTGAAACACAGAAATTCTAGTGTTCCATTCAGACATAGCTTTTGTCATTTCCATGTGTCTACTTCCTCACTCTTTCTGTATACTCTCCATTGAGATGTTTTATTCATTGCTTTTTTACATCTGTTAAAATTCATGAAGCAGGACAAGGCTAAATCCCTGCGCTTCTCCTCAGCCAAGGATGTCTTCCATCAAGTGCAGAGAGGGGCCAAAAATTCCACCTGTGTTTCCACCCAGTAGCACTTAAGCGTGACACCTCTGGAATGCACAAACTCGCAAACAAGTCGCTCTGCAGAAAATCAGCCTGATTCGCCGGAAGTAACTGCATGGTAAGAAACCAGACTTGCATGCTTCAATTGTTTAAAATGAAGCGTAATGGTTGTTACTAAGCATGAAATTGATGAATCATGTGTCTGTCAGATACATATTGAAATATACTGGACCTTGTGGTGTTATGACAAAAGTTTGGCCACTCATGTTAAATTTGATGCCTTGGCTTTAATATGTTACAGTTTAGCCCAATATAATGGGTATTTGAAAGCGTTATAAAACATGAAATCACAATTGAACGATTTGACATTATATTACGAGTGAATTAGTAGACATTATTTTAAACAAGTTTTAAAAATATATTATTTTGAAAAATACTTTTAAATATGTTTATAAATGTAAATATTTGTCATATTTCTGTGGTTACTTAAACATTTAATAATGTTTTTACAATTTATTGAATTTCTGTTTAACTTAGCCCCCCCTAAAATGTTATTGTGAAAAAAAAATAAACCCTTTGGAAGGGTTTAAGGACATCCGTAAATCGTTCATTTGAGTCACTCATAATAAATAATGGCTGAGATGTTGTGAACAAACACACTGGCTTCAAATAACATCATATATTCTGTGTTTAATGCACTGTGATTCACATGCAAGTTTCATAACGGGTTTCTCAAACCTTCAACAAAATGTAGCCCTCTTATAAGCTGTGTGTGCAGACTATTTCTCCATAGAAAATGAATACTACTTTTGAGATCCAAAACACTCTGTAGTGCACCAGTCCATGTGAATCATATCACGGCGCTGTTAAATTAAGACATGAAAATCCGCACAAATGTATCTTCACGATGAGCAAAGTTTTCATTCAATCTGAAAAATCTCATTAAGACTGGAGCTTCTGTCCACGTGTGTGTGTATGTGTGTTGAGTGTGAGAGAGTGGAAAACAGTGACCTAGCTTGGGTTTTTGTGTACAAGCCAAGGCAGGCAGTTTTTGTTTTGTCCTTTCCTTTAAATACATTTGAATGCTCAAATAAAAATGTTAAATAGTACCACACACAAACCTTTGCGCTTGTAAAGAAAAATAAAGTTGGTGTCTAAATGTCATAGCTTGAATGAAAGAAGGAATTTGTGAATTTTTCTGACCAAACATGAGGTAAAATGAGAATGCCACATTTTGACAAGATTGCAGATTCTCTTAAAAAATTACTCACGATTCCTGATTCTTGTCTGAATAGTGGCTAAAATCGTAATGTGTGTACTTGATTCAGTGGTTCGCAACTAGGTCAGTGTAAGTGGCCCGTTCTATGGAGAGGAAGGAAGATTTATGCAAAACGGTTCATTCCAGAAACCTCCCTCTGGAGAATTCAAGTCTGTAGAGACAGAGGCAATGGCTTTATTTTGGAAGAACCCAGTAAATCCTCTTCTTCTTTCCATGTAATGACCACAAAATCCGCTTTATCCACAGGTAAATTAAGTTATCTATAAAACCACTCATCTAAATGTTGTCACCTAGACTCCCACATAAGGTCCATTTTCTGGTCCAGTTCTGCTGTCCGATCCGTTTAGTGTCAGTAGAGGACAGGAACATCATCTTTAGTGTCTCCACAGTGTCGAAGCAGCTGATGGGTCACCATCAAGTCTATGCTAGGAAAGCTGCTCCATCTCAAACTGGGTGTGTCCGTTTGCGGGCGCATTGGCCCAGGCCTCAGGCGCTCGTGGGTGTGAGTGGCTGGGCTTCAGGTGGTCTTCTGTGGGGCTGTGTGTGTGGATTAAAGAATCCGGGGACGCTGGGTCGGGCGGTCTGTGGTCGTAATACAGAGCCCATAGTAGGGTCACAGTCAACGTCATGGCTAAGATCTGGGCCACTCCAATCGACACACCCAAGAACCTCAACACCTGCAACTGCTTGGTGCCCCGGATAAAACTGTAGATCTTGGGACCACAACCCTGTTGAAAACAAATGTAGTGTAGTTAAGTCAATATAAAATCAATATCGACTATATATCTATATATATCTATATATATATATATATATATATTATGTGTGTGTGTGTGTGTGTGACTATTAATATGCATGTTTCTGGGTTGGAATATTCAAACTAAAGGTTGGGAAATTGGGTGTCATTGACTTTAATCTGTAATTGGTGGAAGTTTTATCAACTTTTTCAATAGTTTTTAGTTTTTAACAATCAACAGTTGTTGTTTTTTTTTTAATGTATTTATTATTTTATTTCTAATTTTATTTATTTTATTTTACTTATTCTTTAATTAGCTTCCTATCTTGGCCTATACATTTTTAATCATTTTTTTCCTGGTTTAATGCAGCTCTAATAACATAATTCTAAATACAATTTTGAAAATACTTTCTTGCCTGATATCATCTGATAATTCTTACTTTACCAATAGCCAGGTGGCTAAAAATTATTTTAGCAAATTAGCATTAGCTACCTTATGACATCATGGCCACTTTTCACAATCCAAACAATTCCTAATAGATAAAATCAAGTGTCCATTTACATTTTTCTAGCCATTCTTCTTGTTTCAATATTCAGAATTCCAGTCAGGCCAGTCAAAAAAACAATGTGGAAAAAAGCCTTCTAATAGATCACTGTTGTCTCTTCACATTAACTGTGATGTGAGAAAGTAACAGAAACAAAATCACACTTCTGCTTTAACAGTTTGTTTTCATGTAAAAACAGCTGCCACACTAATATGTGAGCAATGCGACCCGTTCATCCGCTCGCGTGTGAGTCTGCCTGTTTTGGGCTATTTCCAATGCTAAAGTGTGGAAGAGCAGGTAAACTATTTCCTGTTAGTGAGGGATTTATACTGTGTGGAGTTATTCCTCTGTCATCCACTCAGAAAGAGAGACAGGAAGTGTGTGAGGATCAGACTCGCTCCACACCCTCAGTCTTTCACTCCTAACTCTCCCAATACAGTAATCAATGTTCCCATCTTATTAAACAAAGCCCTGCTTTCACTCTCTGCTGTGGGACCTGTTTGAAAGGCTGGGCTCTGCTGGCTGTTTTACCACAAACAATGTCATGTGTCTATAATGTCCGTCATTCTGTCTATAACTCTATTGTTTTATCTTTTGCTCTCTATATATATCTTTCTACCTACCTCTATCTATCTATCTATCTATCTATCTATCTATCTATCTATCTATCTATCTATCTATCTATCTATCTATCTATCTATCTATCTATCTATCTATCTATCTATCTATCTATCTATCTATCTATCTATCTATCTATCTATCTATCTATCTATCTATCTATCTATCTATCTATCTATCTTTCTATCTATCTATCTATCTGCTAGCTAGCTAGCTAGCTAGCCAGCCAGCCAGCCAGCCATCTATTATTATATCTATCTCTGTCTATAAGAATAAAAACTTACTTTATCCTATAAACCTACAAAGATTTTTAAACATTTATCAAAAGCTTAAAAGACTTATCAGTTGTGTGGGAAACGAGTGTCACAGAAAGGGCATCTGAGAAGCAGGGTGCTGGAGACACTGTGTTGTGTTTGTCCTCGAGCTTGTGTTTTAGGACTCCACACACAGGTGTGTGTCTGAGCTACGTGACTGATTTTAATTGCACTGCTGGAGTCGCTCATAACACTCACTGGCAATACAGCTTGATTAAACTCACGCTCAGCGGGAAAGTGAATATCTCCGCTGTCTCGCCTCATTTTTACATAGTCACGTTTTAATTAGGGCTGTCAATCAATTTACTTCTTTAATCAAATTAATCGCATGCTATTCCACATATCAATATTTGCTAAGCCCCCAAATTAAAATGAGATTACACTATTGTGACAGATGAGTAAATCATTGAATAGGCATCACAAAAAGTGGCTTTTAGAAGTCAATATTGCATTCTTTTTGTTTTCATATTAAGTTATCAATCCAGGTTAGACATGACAATATTTTTAAATTGTTTGTCTATGTACAAATGCAGACGAACATCTTCAGCTGTTGCATCATAGCTTGAGACATGCCATGAAATGCCATTGGACTACTTGTAAGAAGACCCGTCTTGTGAGTATGTTTATAATTTCCAGATGTTGAATCAATATCAAAAATAAGCTCACCTCCTGGTAAAGGTCACTGAGGTCATGGTAGTGGGCGTTTCGGGCGCACCCTGGATATTGATTTGAGCAGCAGGAGTCAGGTGGCCACTCCATCTCTGTCATTTCCAGCCAGTCAGTGAAGTAGATCACTCCACAACACTTCAACTGTAAGGCAGGTGTGAAAGTTAGCACATTTTCATGCTACGCTCAGTGAAAGGAACTATTTTTGATGTATACATACGTATATTGGCCTGTGTATTCCATGCATATAGGTTTTCATATTATTTTTTCTCTTATTTTACATCATTGCTGCACCTCTCCTCCCTTAGTTCTGGTCTCTATGAAGTCCCTCCCGCAACTTTTCAACAAACTACAAATGCAACTCAACTAGGCCTTATCCCATTTTTTTTTGTGTGTGTGTGTGTATGCCTTGGGCGAGAATTATTTTAATGGGAAGAAAAGGTAGTTCAGAAACATCCTTAGAGAATAACTCCCTAACTTTGCAAACCTTTTTCATGTTCAAACAGCAACATTACACTCTAAAGAAAGTTGAAAAAGTAAAAAATTAAATAAAAACATAACAGGACCGCTTTAAACATCAAATGTGGTCTGATTGACTGCTTGGGTTCACTCAGCATTTTTGCTTTCAGTGACACCAATACAATTATTTGACACCAACATTACATGCAGTAGGTGTTGGATGAGGTGTAATACTGGTGATGATTTTGACCTCTCACCTCAGTCTGTAAAGAGTTCCAGGCATGCGTGAGCCACTGGTAGCGCTGCAGGCCAAAGTGAGGCATGCGTGACTTTAGACTTATCATATCAGACCTCTGTACCATTGGCTGAAGAAAGAGAGAGAGGGGGAGTTATGGAGAAATATTCATGAAGCCCCTGTGATTTTGTAATCACATAATATAATTTCCCTACACTGTTATTAAAGACGTTTTCTAAATAACAAAAACCTTTTCCAGGCAGTTTAAAGGACCATCCACACGCCCACACATCCAATTTTAGGCTCTCTTGTGACCAATTTATTGGCTAGCTATGAAATACCCTATTTACAAGTGCATGCATCTGTTGTTTATATAGTAGTTGGCATTTTGCAATTTAGTCCTCATGAGACTTCTCTGTCTCATTTGATGGGGAAATGATAAGTACCCACAATGCCCGGAGGTTAGGATTGTCATCTCTTATTTAACTTGCTAAAGCAGGATAAATAGAAGTCAACATGAAATGACTATACCAATACTAAAAAGAGACTAAAAATACTGTTTTGTGCATAAACTTGCATAGATATATAAAATTTAAGGATGAATGAATGGATGGGTGCCATTGGGATGGCCACTTTTCACAATCCAATTCTAATTTATAAAATTGAGTTGTTTTTTTTTTCTCAATAACCAGTTTCACTCTGAAATAAGTCACATTTTGGAAATAAATTGGGTTGCGAATGCTATTTCATGTCGACTTTAAGCTGAAGAAAGTTGGAGTGGCTGCACTGTTGATACAACTGATAACATGTAACCAGGCCAGGTGCAGCAGAATAAACAGACTCATTGCCCTTACGCCCACAGGGGTCCCATTAGGCCACAACAGCACAATAGGACCATCAAACCCAGCAAAGGTTTTGGGGTTTGTGATAAGAGCATATCCTGAAGCAGAAGCTGTGTATGTCTGAGTGAGAGAAGCTAGATTAAGGCCAGGTGTGAGCGATATCTTCCCCTTCGAGGTGCGCCTTATCTTTCGTATCCTTGGGCTAACAGAAGCAGATGCTACCTGCAATCCCTTTCCCCTTGCTGATCAAATCTTTTAGTCTGCACAGATCCAGGACAGGTTTCTGTAAAGCCTGATGCTAATCTGGCTTCAAGAGCCAACTAGAGCATTTGCATAGGTGACTCCATCCTCAACCCGCACACGAAAACACTCTGCTTATTAACTCCCCAGAAGGAAGTCTGCTTGAGTCGGCCTTTTGAAGTCATAATAGTTAAGATTAGACCGTAAGCAGGCGGTTCAGAAATCAGATCCTCATTCCTTTTTCTCCTGGGAACGGCCATGTGGCGGCCGTGTTGTTGACGTGAGAGAGGGAAGAGAGTTGGCATTTCTGTTTATTCATAGCACCACGCACCTCATCATACGTCCACACTCCGCTGGCCAGCTCTACGCAGAATATCACCATCAGACTGCCAAAATACTGGGAATGCACACACACACACACACACACAAAAAGAAAAGGTTTGGTTAAAAATATCTTCTGAAACAATAGGCCAGAAGGAAGGTGTTGATAATCAGACATAGAGAAATGAGAGCAAAGTGTGTGTGCTTGTTCATGAATGTTCGGATCTGGATTCTGAGGTCTGTTTTGTCTCTCAGGTCTTCTCTCGGGAGTTTCGAGCAATTGTGACAGGCTGCGTTGTGAATAGCATAGTAGTCATGCTATTTTTTGCAGTATGCAGGATGTATACTATGCAAAATATGAAAATTTAAGAGAGCCATTATACAATCCACCCAATTGCAAGTGAAATCCAATTATCAACTTTGAAAAAAAATAAAATAAATGTTTGTATATATGTACACACATTTTTTTTTTTAAGTTGATAATTGGATGTCTGACTTATATATGAAACATAACGATAACATGCGATTACAATGTAGCATAATACTAGTTGAATTGTTTATTTATTAATGTCTCCAATATTAAAATAGTAGTATGCAGTATGCTCAATATGCTAGGGTGGATGGAAGAAAAGATAATATTTCAAAGTTCCCAAGTTTTTTGCATTCGCACAAGCACAGATTTTTGTATTTAGGGCAAACTAACACATCCATCTCATCTCCTCCCTTCCTGAAGACAAAGACACTCTGTCTTTCTCAAAATCTATTTAACATACATAGTTCCCCTCGGTTGAACACACACTTTGAGAGAGATAATCAAGACGAATGACAGTGTTAGGAGCCACATTCAGAGCAGACCCCGTCTGACAGCTTGTTTATTTGGGAGAATCTAAATATTTGTGACAATTCTATGCCTGTGTTAGCATTTCAGCTAGTTTGTTAGACGCTTACCACAAAAAAAAAGGCAACCGTCTTTTTCTCTACACAGCCTTCCCTGCTATAATATCTGCCCTTCAAATATGTCCATTGTGAACTTGTAACCCCTGGAAGTTCCAAACAAGCTGGCTCATCTGCAAACATACACATTTTTCTCAGGGTAAGAGAGGTTCTCAGGGTTACATTCTCTCAGCGACCTCTCGGTTTATTGATTTGTTGAGAGTTTTACTCTTCCTCTTTCACACTCACACATTTTTGGCAAGTACTGTTACAGAAAACAGGACACTGTGAAATGGATGGATTTCCTTTTGACCGGAACGATTAACACCCCCTTTTTTACTTAGTCATGCAAACAGAATGAGAGTTAGATGCATCTAGAGTCTAGTATTAAGTCTTATCATATATGTTTTGACAGATGGCTAGTGTTAATGTCATTAAACTGGTGCTTTTGGGTATAGTTAGAAATTTGAACAAACAATGCTATGGACACGATGGATGTCTCAAATTGTGTGTCTTATCGAGGAAAGATATGCTATTCGTTTTTTTTAAGTGATTAGGGATTCATAGTAGCCTGACGTCGTCATACTCAGATTCTAGTCAGAATGAGAGTCTGTTATGGATGCTATTACGATGTCACTTTGTAGGCCAAAAAGCGGAAGTGAGTTAGCATTTTTGCACTTCCGGTTCCCTTGCCCTAAAGTCAATGGTCTTTTTCAATGGGTTTTTGCTAAATCTCCTGAAATAAGGTCTGTGGTGAACAAAGCCTCTAAATATTTTCACATTTTGATCTATGGCATAAAACATACCAGTTATAACCTGTGTCTGCTTGTGTTTTTTAAAAACTTTATATAGCCTTCAAAAACATTTTGGATTAACTTGTAAAGATTACCTTGATAGACAAAACGTGTAAGGGTCACAACTCTTTGTTAAACACAGATCTTATTTTTTGCGATTTTCTTAAAAGTCTATGGGGAAAATGCATAGCTTTTCGATCAAGGGAACCCATGCGCCGCTAGCTTCCGAGTTGTCGTGACGTCATCACTTCGGCAATCTATTGTGTGGTGATTATGGGGCGTGTTTCAACCGAACCAGGAAAGAAAATGCCTCTGGACTCAATTGCAGAGACAAATGGCTTGATCGTGGTTCTCTTTTCCTCTTTTAAAATAAATTTCTGTCTACATCTTCTATAACAGACGTGATGGCTGAATCTACACATTTAAATTCTCCAGCATTCAAATTCATCCCAAGTGCTATTATTATTAGGTAGCATTACCAAACCAATAGTAATGTTATAACACATACATTTTATTATACCATGGTCTGTCTGAATACTCCATTCTGATTGGCTGGACTATAAGCATTCATTTCATATGCCATTGAATGGAAGAGAGTCTCTCAGTAGATCTTTTTGATTTTCACATAAAGAGTTCATCACATTAAAAATGTCAACAGACACATTTCCAATTAAAAAGCAATGGGCTCTATGCACGGCGGTATTTCCGGTGAAGCATTAGGGATGCTCGATAACTTCCGCCGATCATAGAGTCCAATGCAATACCGAGAATGTATATTGAATTTTATACTCCATGGTTATACTAAAGAAACGTTAGTCACAAAAACAGATAAAACAGACACCCCTCGTTGTGTTTATGCTTCTTTTTAAAATTATATTAAATAAATATAACTATATATAAAATTACATCTAAACGTATGTACGTTTCATTTCAAAGACTGGAGGACAGTAAAATTTTGAAGACTCTGCCGTTTTCTTCGGTTTTCCTCCGCTTTAATCTCCACAACCGGAAATGGACGAGCATCCTTGCGTCAAATCCGGAATTTATGCGTGCATATAGCCCATTCATTCATGAAAATTCTTAGAAATTTTTAATCAATTTCACCGTTCAATATGAACTCCTATCTGCTCTCCTGATCTCTATTGCTGCCTCCTCTCTTTTGCTCTGACAGGACAAAGAGTGTGTGAGAGTGTGAGAGTTAATGTGCATGTGTGTGTCCGGCCAGGTCGCAGCACTCAGTGAGAGGGCGGCTGGTGAATAGGGCGACCACGTAACCCAAGTGCCTCTCCTCTCTTCATGTCTTCCCACTCTCCTCCTGGATTGGTTTACCTATTGTATCACAGCCAGATAATATTGTTTGTCGCTGAGCCTCTGGGTAACACAAGCCCACTGGGGCAGAGAGGAGAGGAGAAAGGCTCCTCAGGAGATGAATGGAGAGAGGAGGGGGAGAGATGGGCAAAGGAGTCCCAGAAAACAGGTCCTCAGTCTGGGTCAGCAGACGGGACCCCACCCTCTCGCCCGCCGCCGCACACCTGGGACTGTAAGCCACAAAACAGCCCTCTGCTTACTCTCTCCTCCCCCCTTCATGCTGGGATTTTGTCAATTCATCATCATAAAATAGATTTGCTGACCTTTTAAACGTTACACAATGAGAGCCTTTCAAAGGGGCGATTGCATAGAAAACAGAATTATCCTCGCTCTTTTGAAATCAAACAGCCCAACTTGTTCATAGAAGCTGGAAAATGGTCGCTTAGAAATAACAAACATGAATGTTTCTTATTTACCGTCAAGATTTCAGATTAAAATTGCAGAGGGGTTGAAAAAGTCTAAGACCTCAAGTGAAAAATGTTTTCAGTATGTTAAAATTTGGTTTAGATTTGATAGATTTTTTTTTATATATTATTAGTTAAATGTTTTTATTTTAAAACAAATTAAAATACATTTAATTCACTGCATGAGCAGTAAGCATCTTGAACATTGTCAAAATGTCTTTTTTTCATCAATATTTCTTCTTTAATATATATATATATTAAATTAAACAATTAAATTACATAAATGTTACTGTCACTGAAGGGAAAAGGAACAGTCTGGATACTTTGTTAAATATCTTTCTTTGCGTTTCGACATCAAATGTTTTTGCAACAACACAGTATTTTTATTTTTGGGTGGACTGTGTCTTTAAAGTAGAAAAAGTAATTCTGAGGGTCAGATAGAGGGTGGATTTTCCTTCCTCCCCAAATCATGTTATATGTGCTAACAGCCTGTCAAGATCTTGCCATTTCAGAAGTCACAATGTCACGAACACATCTGTCTAAAAAACACAAAAATCTCTCACAATGGATATAACTATGTGGCCTTTATTTGGCCCTCCTTGACAGTCTATCATGCTGAGAGAAGTGCAGTGCTCATACATTACTCCTGTCTAACTCTTTGTACCAGAGTCGCAAGAGCTTTACGACCTCCATAACCTATAGAGCGAGTTTCTACCAGTGTCAGAGGAGGTTATTATCATCTGAAACACACGTTCTGATGATACGGATAGCTAGACACAGGGTGCACCATGACATCTAATATAAAGATATTGCCTTCTAGTATCCCAGTGTAGTTATGAGGTAAGAACTGACTTCCTGTGGCTATAATGTGTCATGCTAGATTTGAACACAAATATCTGTAGCTGAGAGTCAAAAACAACATGAAACTCCATTCACAATGCATATAACTTCTATAGACCATTTTGCAAGATGTAAACAACACTGGTCCAGAAACACTTCCTGTTTGAGCTTGTAACTGTTTTCTTTATTTCACATGTAAAGAAAACATCTTATGTTTGTATAACTTTTTGATTCAGTTTTATATGTTCTGTTGGTTGTATTTTATCCCAGCTTTTATTAAAAAAACTGAAACAGGAAGTGCTTCTGGACCAGTGTTGTTTACATCTTGCAAAATGGTCTATAATAAAACATACTTCCAAGTGAAAAACAATATTGGTTGGGACTTACTGTGAGGGCACGCATCAGTATTTGATTAGATGTTATGCTGTGATGTTATTTGTTAACGTGACATTTTCTGCCTGCAGGGATTTTGCTACATCATAAAAGATCATGGCAAACTGACGTTATTTTTTGATTTTTTGCTTATTATCATCCTCAATGCATGTTGATCAGCTTATTGTGGATGAATACCCATTGGATAACACTTTACTTGAAGGGGTGTGCATAAGACCTTCATAACCATGACATGACACGTCTTGAATATGAATACATTTGTTCGTGACTGTTAAAAAAGTATGTTTAAAGTACTACATCCGCCATATTATCACTGTCATGTGACCTTCGGCATCATCTCTTCGCCTCTATTACTAATCCTCTTCCGTGGACTCGTGGGATAGTAAAGTGCCCATCAAATGCACACTTCAAATTCTCGCCAGAAGTATTAGGTCATCCGTGTACTTTCCGCCAGTTTCACTATGAATTCAGACATATTACTCGGCCCACATCTTGTTCGACTACTTAATCAAGTAGTAGGCAGATGGAAATGCATCGCATTACAGAAGTAAAATGGGTTCAGGGTGGCTGAGGATGTGATATCTCTCTCTACTCCCCTCTAGTGTGTGAAGTGAAGACACAGTGGTCTCTGCGGAGATGTGTGGATAAAGAAAGCAAGACTTGTTTGTATCTGGTTCGAGGGTGTTTGGGGTCAGCAACGTCAGTGCCAGCTAAACGTAAAATATTCTCGGTACACAAAACCACACACATTCCAAACCACACAATGTTCCTGCTGTGCTCGTCTTTTGTTTTGTTCCCTTCCCAGTTCTACTTACCCAGGACAGTAGGAGCAGACTGCACTTGAGCGTGCCGCAGTAGCCCACCATGGCCACGATGATGAGAAAACAGCACACGGCGATGACGACAGGATGGACGACGGGGGAGTATGTGAGAACGGCTGCCTCCTCCAGTCTTGAGGAGAAGAGAGAGAGGAAGAGTCATTTCTTGGCAGGCTTTTTGTTTATTTATCCATCCATCCTGCTCACTTGCCTCTTCCTTCTCTCATAGGGCAGCATATATGAGTAATACACCAGTTGCAAATAAACAGTGATTATACTCTGTAGGAATGCAAACTCTCTTGCTCTTCCTGTCTCTACTTCTGTTTGGCTCTCTTTTGCACCAGTTTTCTGAGATGCAACAATGTTTTCACTAAAAAAGGCATGGACAAGCTACAGAATATTCCAGGTTCTGAATACTTTAAGCTCAGCTTTTGTAAACATTAAAAAACTATTTCAATAATATAGCCACAAGTTGCATGTAAACATGATTTTAGGGGCTGTTTACATGACACCATTTTCAACTAAAAATTCTGACTTTATATCTCACAATTCTGACTTCATATCTCGCAATTGTGAGATAAAAAGTCGCAATTATTATGATTTTTTTTTTTTTTTATCCAGTGACGGAAACAAGCTTCCATACCCCATAACCTATTTTTGCTTTAATGAATATTAACGTAATTAAAATTATGCTATGGCTCTTGATTAAGCTGAATATTTCCTGGGGAGAATATCTAACTAAAGATCACACACAAATGCGCACAAGTCTGAAATGTTCTATCCTAGTTGATGCCATTAAGTTTCGATCTGCAGAGATGAGATTTTTACCACCATCATAGGAGGGCCGACTCAGCATGTTACTGCAACGCATCTCTGGTAAACCTATTTGTTGTGTACAATCAGGTTTTAACAATTTTCTCTCTGTTGATTCCCATTCATGTCATGATGTGGCCCACAGAGGGCTCAGTAATTATAATACACATCTTGGTGATAAATTGCTTTTTGTCAACCCTAATTACGAATCACTCGCCTCCAGGATAATATTGCTTCTTATGGGATTTTTCATGCAGTTTTCCTTTAATGCTTGATATGATTTAAAAAAAAAAAAAACATTCACATACACAAATGAATGGTTCTCAACCCAGTTTCTGTCTCCACTGATAACTTAATGCATTTATCTGATTTCATCTCCAGAACTGCACACCTCATTCATGCTTGTAATTACTATATAAGCTTGAGGCAATTTGATCCAGACCGGCTGAAAAGTTGGAAAACAGTAAATTAGACCTTTACATGGACCGCTGCCCCAAATGAAAGGATTTTACGGCTCACACCTGTCCATCCGCTGCCTCTCACCTGGTGTCTGCGGTTAAGGTGAGTACATTGTTCAGGTGATCCCTGAGGCAGGCGGACACTCCCAGCACACACAGGGCCATAAGCTTGGAAAAATTAGAAAAAAACACAGGACTTAAGCCACACTTAAACATGCATTTTTGAAGATATCATTTACAGCAGTAGTCAAAGCCTATATGAAAATTGACATCCTTTATCTAAATATTATTTTAAAAAGTGTTAACGATAGTGTAAGCATATTGCGCAGGTGTGCTTGAAGTAAATTGTTTTTATTTGTGATAATGCAATGAAACATGCCAAATTGTGCAGATAAAAGTTTTTGGCTAGGCTGTCGGACAAAGAAATGATAACGCATGCAAAATCAAGAGAGCACTAACAAAATATTAATTAATAACTGATTATGTTGTATAAAATAAAACATGAAGCTGTTATTTGCCTTTTTGCCAGATAAATAAATACCTTAAAAAAATGTATGGTTTGATAAAAACAACCCACTTTTGGTAAAATGATTTATTATATGTTTATTTCTACGGTATATATATATATATATTTTATTATTTAATAGTTTCAAATTTTTTTTAATATTCTTAGAATAAAAAGTATTTAGACACTTTCTGGTTGCCAAATGTTAGTGGGACACCATGATCTACACTGACTGGATATACAGCCTTTGGGTCAGCTGGTAATCATAAAATTGGCTCAAAAAAAGTGAAATTGTAGTTCTGAGAGACAGTCTGGCACAATTTTCTTACAGATGCTACTTGGTTTGATTATGCAATGCAGTAAAATTCATCCATTTTAGTTGTCTTTGGGGTATGTTTGTGTCCATGGTTGGCTTGGAAACCTATTTAGGTACCGTGCTATGTTTGACGTGCAGCAATATTAGTGACATGGGTTTAGTTTGCCCTACGCAGGCATTCTTGGTCTAAAAACACACCCTGGTGCTTATCACATTTAATTCCCTAAAAATAGCGGCCGCAGCAGAATGTGAGCTGTGTGCCATTGGCGCATAGCTGGGATTCAGGCTGTCCTCTACATAAAGATAACATAGGATGGGGAGGGAGGGAACACAGATTGCGCGTGTGTTGGCGTCTTGGAGAGCGCACAGCAGCACTGTGCCATGTAACGTGAGCGCTCGCTCGGCCACCTGCTCCGACTTGGACTCGTCTTACCCAGAAGAGAAAGTTGAGCGCATAGAGCAGACAGCGCAGACATTTCACCGAATCCTCCCGGGCCATTCTAAGCACACCAACTGCTCGCCAAAAGACCTCATTTTAACTTCTGCCACCAAGGCACCATAACCACTGAGGAGAAAACAACAATTAACAGTCACATACAGCTTGCTTGAGATGATAAGATGAACATATGCTGCAGAAACCACTCTAAGTTGGTTGCTGGTCTTTGTTGGTCTCATGGGCTCGTGGTTGGTTGAGAATGGGTTTGGGCCTCCTCATCAACCTGATTTGAGTTTGATCATACTGGGAGACCGTCTCAAACCACCTAAGGCCACTAGCCACCCAAGGCCAGCTGGCCAGGTGGGGAGACCACCTACCACTAAATAAAAGTTTCTTCCCCCAGGCAATCTACAGCACAAACAGTTAAAAGTTATCCCCACTGTGCAAGGATAACTAAATGCAATATCCCTTATATTTATTTGACAATATTTGACCACTTTTTATTCCATTCCTTGTTAATTACACTCTATTCTATTTGTATATGGCACACCTGCACATACAGATTTGTCTATTGTATGTCTTATCCACATATCTTCATTTTTTTTATTATTATTATTATTATCTGTGCACTGTGTTGTCTCTGTTTACTGGAAGCTTATCCAGTCAAGAAACAAATTCTTTATGTATGCAAACATACTTGACAATAAAACTTTTTCTGATTCTGAAGACCACTTTGGACAGGCTGGGGAACCAGTAAATAATCTTAGTCTATTTAACGTGTTTTTTATGGTTTTTGAAATCCTACCATGTCATAAGTCCTTGTGCGTGTTCAGTGCGCATCCAGAATGTCTTGATATAATGTTGTAAATATCCGTGCGAGGTTTAAAAAGCAACTTGTGATTTTCAAAAGACCTACAGGTTGCAGCTTTCTCTTCTTGGATGGTGTTTAAATTAACTTTTCCACACCAAAAATAAAAAAAGAAAGAAAAAGTTTCCAAAAGAGAACAAGAAAAAGAAGTTTGAAAAGTATTGCACTGACAACCCCTTTATATTCTGTCCAGCTTGAAGTTGTAGGAAACTCCTCAAACTTAGTTGCGCCTGCAATGTAAAGTCATCTTGATATTCCTAACGGAGCGGCGCGCAACAGTCGGGCGTGTTCGCTGCGATCCATTCACTGTCACTGTCATTCCAGGCGTTGTATGTTCCATTCAGGACCAGCTGTGTGCACCTCTTCTTTCCACAAGTGTTTAACTTCTGCATGTTAAGAGACTTTCACTCCAAACGCGCTGAGTGTCATCCGGAGCATTGGTGCCTCCGGGTCCTAAAGACAAACTCTGGGTCATTCCGATTATGGCAAGCCTATTTAACATTTTTTATTTCTTTATTTAAATGGTATACAGAATTATAGCAGTAGTAAAGTCATCTTGTTTGCCACGAATTCTATGTTGTTCAGATATTTTTATTTTTTACCTCAGACTTCCAGTTGTTGCTTCAAGAAGCTTGAAGTAACTATTGAACATGATGTAGCCTAATCAGCTATTTATTTCCCAGTTAAGTAGAAACAACTAGGCTAAGTATAAGAAAAAAATAATAATTAATTGATCTCATAGTTATGCCATTTCAAATAAATAAATCTTTTGTTCTTTGTGGTGATCAGACAGAGTATCTGAGAAGGAAACAAATCCCTGCATGTCTTTGTCTTATATTGGAGACACTTGTACATATACGTCGTATCTGACCAGTTTTAGGGTCAACTTCCGTGCCCACTCATTTTCATATTATTAGCCATTGCTACCTGCTTAACCAGTTTCTGTGGTCATTACATGCTTCCCAATCGCATGCATCAACAGTGCTTGGCATGCATCCAGATCCCCGCCCCTGAGATATCATATGCCCGGGTGAAGAGGTCACATGTGATGGGCGTATTATTGTCTTGAGAGAGACTCAATCTGCTGTTATGGGAATGTGTGTTGATTAATTTTACTGTGCTGCAGCTGTCCTGGTCATAAAGGCTACAAGTATGTTACAGTTGAGTTGTGAGTTGTTGTTCAGAATTAAAGTGATTCCTTGAAGTCGTTTTGCTTGCAGAAATAAAAGACTCCCTCATTTAATTCTCTTACATAAGAGCAGTCTGTTCTAACACTTATTTTAAATATGTATTTTGTTAGTTGGGTTTTTAAATATATTTATTGTTCAGCACTAAAAGACTAGAATTAGTCATTAAATAAAAAAATCAAAAAATAATATATATATATATATATATATATATATATATATATATATATATATATATATTAGAAACTTCTCAGAAAAATACATACTGTAGGTAACTATATGCAAAACTAACATTCTATACGCAAATCCAATATTGCATTGTTTTATTTTGAGCATCCTGACTGTTTACTGACTGATATTATTTGATATTCTGTGCAAATATAGCACCAGGGAACTCGGATGAACTATAAAAAGACAACTAGCTTTCAAACGGCCACAAATGGATGGCACAGTCATCAGAAAAGCCACATTTCCTGTTTATGATCTTAGGTATATTTTTATTTGATCCAAATTGAGAGCTGAGGTGCAGTGTCACTTTGCAGAACATTTCATGTCTACAGCTGTGAGGTAATTTTGTCTTGGAAATAAAATATTTTAATGGGATGTTTTATAAAAGCCTCTCCCACCACAACTGCACCTAATCATAACTGTCTACAATAAAAGTGGGGTCAAGCTGAGGTTTCTTCCTCTCAAGAGACAGCTGGGGTAGTTACATAGTCTTCCACTGGCAAATGTCTAGCGATATGTTTTACAAAAGCCTCTTACACACAGACAGTACCAAAATTGCAACTGTCTCAGTCAAGAGCAAACGTCTGAATGGTCAAATTTGTCATCCCACATTACGGTCAGTGCTGCCCTCCAAAGGCCAAAACGGCATAAAACCTGCATGTCTACTAAATGACACAATGCTTGTTTCTCTCGCATAACCAAGATGATGTCAAATTTAAAGGAGCAAATTATCATTTTTATACTGTTTTTCATTTCAAGTTTTATTATATAGTATTAAAGAGAAAATACTAGAAATTAAAGAGATTTTTCAAAACAACGCTACTGTAAAATGCTCTGAAACTTTATAGAAAAAACTTCACAGATCAGATTATTATTATTATTTTTAATTAAACTGAAGTAAAATGTAATAGTCGATACATTTATGTTGTCATAAACATATACATATATATGTATAACATATATATGTATATATGTATAATGTAGCCTATATAGATTTTTTTTTTTATATATATATATATATATATATATTTTTAGGGCAGAATTCACAAAAATATTAGCTTGATATTATCATAAACACTTCCAAAGAAAACACTCTTTTGTGTAAATGGACATTTGCACATTGTCCATATGTACCATGTGAATCCATAATTAAATAACTACAAATCCCAGGAGAGCAAAGGCAAAAAGTCAGCTTCCGCGCAACTCCATCAGCGTCCAATCAAATGCCACGTTTTTCACGTAAGCCCCTCCCCTATCAACTTGTGTTTTTTCCTCCCCTTCAGTTCTCCGCTGTCTCCGACGCCATATTGACGAGAAACACCCTTTCTCTAAAACGCCTGAAACACTCTCTCCGCCAGAATGTTGTACCTTGAGGACTACCTCGAGAGTGAGTATATTAATTATTTTAACGGTTCAAGTTGGAATTAAAGTGTTAGAGTGTCTGGGAGGTCTGTTTTGGACGTGTGAAAGCGTCGCAGCCTTTAGCTTGTAACGCGTTTCTGTTCTTCTCCCCGGCAGTGATCGAGCAGCTACCCATGGATCTCCGCGACAGGTTTACGGAAATGAGAGAGATGGACCTGCAAGTGCAGAGTACGAATACAGTTTAAATTCACTCTTCTCCCGTAAAACATCACATCTGACCTTGACTAATGCAGAAAATCCTTCTTAACATTGGGGATTTGTTTGGTTATTTTGCATGCTTAATGTGCATGTATGTGTCTTATGTTATGATGTTGCATACTGATGTGAAGTCCATAAAATCATGTGGAAGTTAAGCAACATGAGTGTTAACTCGCATTCGGAAAAAAAACTTTTTATTAGCAATAGCATTCATTATTCATTTTAATGCTTTTTTTATGTTTTACCCTTCACAAACTGTGATATAAATATTCTTCATCACTCTGATCATGTGCAAGGGTTATAGTACATGCATGTATTTGTTTACCATTATAGGTTTTGCATGGAACATAAACCATAATTTGACATAACTAGTAGTAGTAACTAATTTTATTTAGTAATTTGAACTACTTATTTAGCCATGTTTACAGTAGAACGACAGTAATACGAGGTTAGAGAAATATGTCCTGGTCGTATTTCACACCAAAATCAAAAGAAAACCTTTTAATTTCATCTTCATCATTTCTAAAGTAAAGTAAACCTAATTAACAATGGTGCAGTTTTTTTATTTTATTTTTTTTAATCGTTATAATTTTTATTGTTTGGATGTAAACACTGATGTAATGGCCAAAATAGAGTAAATCACTCAATTTGAAAGTAGCTTTAAAAGCGAGTCATTTTATTTATTCAAACTGATTAATATATATATATATATTAAATTAAATCAATGTTTTAAATACATTTCAGAAATTAACATTTTGTTTGAACCTCTAGTAAATTACTCATTGTTTTGTTTAGAGGTCTATTCAGAATTGTAGGAGAATTATGATTCTGTTTTAAACGACAAAAATAAATAAATAAAAAATCATCATTCTCAATTTATCCAGAATTGTGCAGTTCTATTTTGAGGTGAATGTGACCAGAACATTTTTTTTCTTCGTTCAAATGCCTTGCCCTCAAATAGGATGGTTCATGGATCTCCCTTTGTGGGGGTTGAACCTACAACCTTTTAATGATCTTACCCAAATCATTGACCACTAGGCTACACCACCTCCATCAAAAGATTTATTTTAGTGATCTGACCATAGACTTCCACAGTAGCCAATCAGTGTGATTGTGAACTGAGTGCTCTTGACTTACTCCTGCCTCTGTTCCTTTGTTCAGATGCGATGGATCAGCTAGAGCAGCGGGTTAATGAGTTCTTTATTAACGCCAAGAAGAACAAGCCTGAATGGAGGGAAGAACAGATGGAAATCATTAAAAAGGTAAAGAACAGATGTTATGCACCTCAGTTGATCCAAGTAATACAAATTGTATTCTGGATAATATTGATACTGACTGGTCTTTTTGTCCTAGTAGGAGCTCCAAATGTGAAAACCTTCAGTAGTTTAAACAAGCGAGATATAATGAAAGTAAAAAGACACTAAATTAGCATTTGTTTTACCATGATAACAGAGATATCAAGATAAGATCGGACAAAAGTATTTCTTACTCACTGAATTTGTCACAAAATTCAATTTACGCTTGCACCAAGATAAACAATTGTATCAATTATGTATCTTTGGTGATGAGCATCAAAGATGTCTATCATATAGATGGTCATATTACCAAAGATGAACACGTATTTTTAATATTATCATGTAATTTGGCAGCAGGTATATTAAGCTTCTGTCACTTTAAGACCTGAAGCATAGGTCTTAAAAAAAACCTTTTTCATATTATCATATCATATTTTTTAATAATTAATGGATAAGTTGGGGGATCATATGCACAGTTTAAAAAAAACAAAACAATTTCTTTCTCTTTATTAGGACTACTATAAGGCGTTGGAAGACGCAGATGAAAAGGTCCAATTAGCCAATCAAATTTATGATCTGGTGAGTACCATTATTGAATGAGATGTGATGGCTATGTGTCAAGACTTCATGTTTCCAGTAGGTGGCGGCACATAATGAATGTGCAGTGACTCTCAGGGCTGCCGTTTACTCCTGTTTCATTGATCAACACTGATGCCTTTTCATGTGCTTTAATTCAAGTCTGTTTTGATTTACCCTGGAGAGGGTTAATGGGAAACCTGCTGCGGCTTGAAGTTTTTGTGACGTTTGGGTCTCTATGTAGGTTGATAGACACTTGCGGAAGTTGGATCAGGAGTTGGCGAAGTTCAAAATGGAGTTGGAGGCAGATAATGCTGGTATCACAGAGATCCTGGAGAGACGTGGGTGGCACCTATCAATCACCTTCTATGTAGTTTTGATTAAACGGCTGAAAATGTCTGGACACACTTAAGTAATCTGATCGTGTTGTGGCTTTGAGCTGATTTGAAATAGTTTGTAAAGTTAGTTTTACCTGTTCTAGGGTCGCTG